ATCATGAAACAAACGACACCCAATCCTTCTCTATCCATGCTCCTGGAAAAATCCAAACTAATATAAAACAAAGTCTGTGCCATCCTAATAGAACCTTCCTACAGGGCCTCTGAATAGAGATGTCTTTGAATCTCGACCTATCCTCCCATGTCCCAGATGAAAAGAGTGAGGCTGAGCTAGAGAAAGGGGCTTGGTCCATACCAATTGGACAATTAAAGTTTTTGTTTGCATTGCATTGTTTTGGTTTGCGTTGGGAACACTGTATGGGTTGGATGTTGTCCTTTTGCCAGAGTGACCAGCACGCTAGCCCGGCAATCCTCCTAAGAGCCCCACGCAGTGGTTATAACCTCCACTGCTCGGATGACACGCCGAAGGGTCAGAGAGATGAACTCATCCTGAGACTCATGGAGACCGTGGATTCCCAAGCTCGACCATGGACGCTTCCCAGAATGACATCCTCTTTGGATTTTAATGTGATGCTCTGCCTTTCAGCCTGGCAGCCATGGGCAGCGTGGTCCTGGACACCTCAGCGCTGAGAGGGTGGTGTAAGTCAGGCTACTAGCTCCCCTGAACCCCACAGCCACCCTGCTGCTCTTGGGGCCACCTCTTCCTCTTCTGCAGAAACTTTGTGCGTGCTCCAGGGCTCTTTGGTGCTCCTGCTTAATCAGACTGCAGCTTCATCAGAGTGGGGTCCACGCCTCACTGACCCTGGCCCCTGGCCCTGGCCCTGCGGGTTAACACTCATCCTGCCACATGTGACAGGTGTGCTGATATCTGCTGCAGAACCACCCGTGATCACCGCGCTCCTCCTGGGCTTATCCTCTTACTAAAGGCAATTATGCCAAGATCCGTGCCTGCTGTACCCTGTTAACGATGCTCATATTGGGGACTTAGGGACATTTTCTGTTGATACATCATTTTTGTTGAATAGATTCAAGTGAGCTCAATTTCCCAGCATGGCAGGAAGCGACTCACAACATTCCTTCCTTAGGAACGGGAGTGTGAGCAATTACATACGCAGGACTTGCAAAGGCTGAGTAGGGGCTGAGCAGGCTGCAGAAACGAGCTCCAACCGAGGGCTCTGGTGAAATCAGGGATAGTTAAACAGGGTGCTTAGCTCCTGCGATTGCTTGATTTCTGAAGTTATACCTGACAGGGCACTTGTAAAAGCAGTTTTCTCTCTAAAAGATTAACCAGTTAAGCTAATACTCAACATTAGCTGGAGAAGCAGGGCTGAACCTAGCAAGTTCGAAGTGGGGGGAATAACGTAGTCATTTGCCAATTTATAATGACAGTTCAAGATGGAATTCAAATTTCCTTTATGTCCTGCATCTCTGGAGCTTAGTGAGCCCTAGACAAAGAATCAAAAATACAGTCCAGCTTCCTCTGTTGTTTGCATGACTTTCATAGACTTCCATGCCTTTTCTGGGCCTCAGTTTCCTTATCTGAAGGATGAGGGGGATAGATAAGAACTGAAGCATTAGAAGAGTCTACAGTAGTCTTGTTGAAAATACAGCTACTTTGGGTCTCTTCCTGAGGATGCTGATTCTACAGATGGAGGATGGGGTGCGGGCATCTCTCTTTCTAAGTAGCACCTTGGTAGATTCTGGTGCTGATGACCTTCTGAGCTGATGCTTGTCATTTACCAGATCAGATGATGTCGAAATGCTATTGCCTATATGACATCTATAGCCTTCACAAGGTCGGGATTGCTAACCAGGCAACCACACCTGCCCCTCTGTGCAAACAGCCCAGATGATAATTGGCCCTGAAATGCCAAACTCAACTCCTGCACACTCCAGTTTCTAAGAGGAAGAGCCCCAGTTCTAATGAGCACAGGCTGTTGCCTGTGGCTCTTAACCACATTCCAAGACTCATCCAGCCCTGTTCAGACCTACAGAAACTGAGTGACAGACAGGCAAGGCACCGAGCCGGGTCATAAGACACCCCAAACCACATCTCTGAGAAGGCAGCACAACCAAATTTGCTGCTAATACCCAGGGGAAGTGATTCCTAAAGGATTCTGGGAAATCAGCAGCCCACCAGCAGGGATAACAGTCTGCATGGTACCTTGGACAGCACCTCACAGCACAGAGACCCCGGCACCCTAGCATCCACCCACATCCTCCCAGCCACTCTGCAACCACAAGTGTCCTTCCCTATGGAAAGCAGAGCCTTTGGGGGCTGACTTTGGCCATTTTGGGAACATGAAGAGACTCGTATGGAGGCCTTGTCCACAGCACTGGGGATTTCCCACAGGGGTACATTTTCTTCCTGACAATCATCAGACTTGGCTCAAAGCTGTTGTTTTCAGAGCTCTTACAGACGTTCTTACAAAATCCTCCCTTGAGAGAGTTACCCTTTTTATTTTACAGGTGATGGTACTGAAGCTCAGGGAGGTTACGGGACCTCTTAGAGGTCACGTCACCATGGAGGAAATGAAATTTGGTCTCAAACAGAGGTCTTTAACAGGTCTTTCCACCATGCTGCTTGCTCTTTCCCTGTATGGTCTTGGACTCCCCCCACCCCCCAACTTCTGGAGATACTGTCAGGGGATCTCAGGCTGAACAGATACATCAGGGAATAAGAGGCAGAGGCATGCATCAGACTGCTTATGCGTGCAAAATACTCCGGGTTACCAAGTTCAAAACCAGGGGTGAGGTCTCCAGTAGAGCCACTTACCAGCTAGGTGACTCTGGGCAGGTGGCTGGAGGAGTCAGAATCTGGGCCATGAGAAAGGGGCTGGGTCCGGGGAGTTGGGGCAGGGTGCTTCCCTTCTGAGACCTACCAAGTCTTTTTAGACCTGTCTGCTCTGACACCTGAGGGCAAAAAATGGGCCTGCTCCCCTCACCCCTGCTTCTGGCACAGACTCAAGGTTAAAACAAAACCAAATCCAAACCCAAACCAAATCAAACCAAAACAAAAAAACCACAAACACCAAAACCAAAACCAAAAATTCAGCGGTACAAAACTGATTCCCCAGAGAGCCGCGCCAGTGTTTTCTGGTGCCCTTCCATACTGGATGCCAATGTATTGCTCCTGAGCCCAGTGCGAGAAGGGAAACGGAGGAGACGCGTGAGGGGTCAGCTCCTTTCTGTCCTAGCCTATCAGGGACCCCACGCAGTGCCCAGGGCACATTAGCCTGGCTACACAGCCCCCCACTCACTGCAGGGCGCCTTTGGGACCATCCCCTCAATCCTTCGCCAGCCCCGTTAGGTGCTGGCTGCTAGTGCGCCTTCCTGAGACTGAGCTCGGGGTTTGCGCAGCACCTTGAGAGAGGAGGGGGCCTCCTCTGCCAGACAGAACCTGATGGGGGCTGCTCCTGTCAGCAAGGAGGTGGGCTTGCCCTTTCTTACCCTCAGGTGCAATCCTGATTCCACTAAAAACCAGAGACGTGGGAGTCCCCAGAGACAACCCAGGCGGTTACAATAAAACCTCCGCCACGTTTCCAACGTGTCTAGCGCTCATCCTCGGTTTATTTACACTTGCAGGGTTTTAATGGTCCCCACAATAGTCCCAGGAGAAAGGTATTGTTTCCTCATTTTATTTAGAATTCTAAGACTTAGGAGAAGGGACTTACCTATGATCGCACAGCAAGTAAAAGGTCTCTCTAGGACTGGAAGCCACGGGAGCCGCTGGAAAGGTTCCAGCTCCCTCTATGCTGCCTTCTGGCGCGCACCTCACCTCTCGGGGTGCTCGCCCCACACAGAGCGGCCCCTGGGGCGCTGAGAGCTGCGGCACTGGTGCCACTGTGCCCTGGAGGTGGGCGCGACAGTTTTATGCCCAATCCTGCCAAGTCCCAAGAGCCCTTTCGGGACCCTCCTCCCCAAGGACGCTCTTGGGGCCCCGGAAGTTGGAGCTCGCGGGGACCGCGTTCCGAGCCGCGATAGCCACCTGGAAACAAACACCCAAAGCGCGCGGTGCGTTGCGGGGCCTGATCCGCCGCGGTGCGCGCCCCTCGCCCGCTCTGGGGACGCGCCGGGAGCCGCCGAGCCTCCTTCGCTGGAGCGACACAACTTTCCCAGGCTCTGGGAGTCGGCGCTCTTACACCTCCCGGGCAGAAGTAAGAGGTGCGGGCCACCGCGCCAGGGCCGCGGGCGCGCCAGGCGGATCGTGGCCAAGTTAGAAGCCGGCCAGGAGCCGCGGTCCCCACGGGCAGATCCCCGGGCCATCGGCCCCCCGCCGCGGGCAGCTGGCAGTGCCCGAGGCCTCCATTACCGCGGAGCGCGAGGAAGCCGGGCCGGGGGAAGAGGACGAAAGTTAGGCTCGGGCAGGTGCCGCGGTCCCGGGCACCTGCGTCCCCAGCCGGGGCCGCCGGCCGGGGAGCGCGCGGGGCCCCACAGTCCGCCATGGCCGCGGGCGCAGCGCGGAGCCGGGCGCGCGGCCGGGGAGCCCCCGGGGTCCCCGCAAAGTTGGCGCGGCGACCCCAGGACCCGGGACACGGCGTGGGGCCGCCGGCCGGGAGGAGAACGAGGCCACCGGGACCAAGTTGGAGCGCGCGGCGAAGCCCGCGGCTCCCGCGCGCACTGGGGTGGGCTCTCCGGGAATGGAGAGCACTAGGGGCACCCCGAAGGGGCGCGGGACGCCGGCCCCGAAACTCACCTGCGGCCGAGCCCGGCGGCGCCCGGGCTGCTCTGCCCGCCGCGCACCCGCCCGCCCGCCCGCCTCCGACTCCTGCTCCCGCCGCTCCGCTCCGCTCCTCCCGGGCGCCCGCCGCCGCCGCGCTCGCGGTTCCGAAGCCTCCGGGTAGCTCGGCCGCCGCGCGCGGCTGGAGGCGCCCGGCGCAGCCACTCACCTCCGGGTGGGAGCCGCGCGCCTCCTCCCCGCCTGGCGGCTTTGTGCGTCTCGGATCGCTCCCCACCCCCTCGCCCGGCCCCCACCCTGTCTTGTCCCCTCCCTCCGTCCCTCCTTCCGTCCGCCCCGGAGAGCCCAAGTTCGGGACGCGGACTGCGGGCTTCCCCCGCGCAGTGCCCCGATCCCCGCGCGCGCCCCAGGCTCACCCCGTCCGCCCGGCCGCCGCCGCCCCTCGGAGGAGCCGCGGCGCTAAGTAGCTCCACGCCCGGCGGCTGGAATCGCGGCGTGAATATGCAGGGACCGATCCGGGAGCTCGGCGAGGGTCGTGAGGGGGAATTTATTTCTTAATGTGCCTTCTGTATCCTATCATCGCTGGAACGATTAGCGGTGACGTCCCAGCCGGCTGGTTTATGGGTGTGGGGAGGGAGACGTCGCAACCCTCATTAAAAGAGCCGCTCTGGGCTCCAAAGCATACATCTTTTATATAACCTAATTTCCATTTTTTTCCCTATCAGGAAACACGCACACACACACAATGACAATTTCTGGGAGGCTGGAGGGGGCCGAATGTAGTACCCACTCTGGGGAGGGCACAGAGCATCTCACAGGAGGCAGAGCCATGGTTATTTCTGTACATCGGTGCTGGGACCATATTCTTTAGTGGGACAGCAGATTGCCCAGTGTCTATGCTGGGCAGAGCTGGCAGCCCTCTGTGTGCACGCACGTGTGTGTGTGTGTGTGTGTGTGTGTGTGTGTGTGTGTGATAGAGAGACAGAGAGAGAGAGAGAAGGAGAGCGGCCTGGGTTCTGGCCTTGGCCCTTAGGCTGGCAGACAGTGTCAGCAGGTTCTGGTAATGTTGCCCGGTTGGTATCTCAGGAGCAGAGCTCAGGCCAAGCGCCTGGGGAGGGGTGAGGATGGAGGGACCTTGTCCACCTGTGGCTTGAGAGGCCAGCACAGGGGGAGAGGCCTGCAAGCTGGGCAGGGGGAGGGGCAGATGCCGAGAACTCAAGCTTCTCTTCCTTTCTTAGGGGCCCTAACATATGGGTAACCATATAAACTCGTCTCGAAAGCTGTCTTTTCCTGGGCAGATTGCAAAGGATTTTGCATTTCACTGTCTCTGTTGCTCACACACTCTTAGGGAAGCAGGGGGTGGAGGGACTCCAGGAAAGAGAGCAAGATTCACACACACACAGGCACACACGCACACACACACATGCACATGCACACGCATACGCATGCAGACACACACGCTCAGCACCTGGCTCCAAGTGGCTTGATCTTTCTCCTCCCCAGCCGTGGCTTGGCAAGACAGCCAAGCCCACTCAGGCTCCGAGTTGCACGGAGAAGAGGCAAAGAGGAAAACCACCACCCCCCTTTGTCACTAATAGATGCTTTTCAGAGTGTCTTGCACATCAAGCAAGGGAGAAGGGGGTGTGACTTGAGGGGCAGAAAGAGGGGTGCGAGGGATGAGGAGGTGGAGGAGGGAAAAAAGCTGATGGCTCTGTGTGTGTGTGTGTGTGTGTGTGTGTGTGTGTGTGTGTGTGCTCTCTTCAACTCACTTGGAGGAAAACCTGAGAAAATCCCATCAGCTCTGGGGCTCTGCCACTTCCTGACTGTGCCCAGGATTCCGGGTCAGTTTCCGGGGTAGTGAAATGGGCCTGGGGTGGATGTGGGGGTACACATGAGGGTACACATCTTGGCATGATGCCTGGCATATAGTAAGTGCTCACAAAAGAGTAACCGAGATGATACTGATGGTGAGAATAAAGACAGGACATAAAGGCTGGACGAGTGTCCCGGGAAGGGAAGGCTGGAGCTGAGCCCTCGGAGATCCATCCCTGCCCATCCTGGACACGGCTTCCCCTGCCTGAACCGTTTCAAAGTTGAGCCCTGGGTTTCAGTGGTGTTGGTCTCAGAACACTGCTCTCTCAATTACCATGGCAACTGGGGAAAATCAGGAAGCCAGAGGGAGGAAGCTGCTCCTCCACTGGGCTGGCGGTTCACCTGCTCCAAACAGAGTGGGAGCTGTGCCCACCGGTATCGGGAGTCAGGGGCACCAGGGGCACCAGGTAGGGCACCGCCACCCGAGGGCTCATCTGTTCTGCGATTGATGGCAAAGGGACCAGTAGCCAAAGCCCAGCCTGAGATGCTGGGTCAGCGCCAAGGCTGGCTGTGCCCCCAGAAGGCAGAGGTGGCCTGGGTTTGAGGGGTGGGGCTGGAAACCCCTTTGCCCCATTCTGTCTGTGTCCGGGTGCAGTGGGATTGTGGGCAGAGAGGGTCAGATGGAAATCAAACCTGCATGGAGAAAAAGAGGCATGTGGAAATTTCTGGAGAAATTGGCAGAGACACAGAAAAACAGAGATACGGAAACAGGGAGAGACAGAGAGACGGAGACAGAGAGGGTGTCCTTCCTCATCTGCCGACTCCATGTGATGAAGGAGAGCCAGCCACGGTACCAGCTGTAGTAGCGGAGCTGGACTGTTTTATACCAAGTGCGTCTCATCTCACAGGTTTGAGCCAAAACACTTTGTAGCAATAGCTCACTGAATTGTCACCAAAGTGCCAAGAGATGGATGACTCCCTTCCCCAGATGTATTTTACAGAAGCTCTGAACTCAAAGCAACTCACCCAGGCGCTCGGTTCATTGGTGATCAAGCAGAGGCTAAAACTGGGGTCCTGGGACCCCAAAGAGGGCTCTTTCTGCTCCTACCTGGGCCTTCTGGGGGACAGAGAGGAGCAATGTCAGAATGTTTGTTATGGAGGCAGGGGAGGATCGGGAAGTTTGGGGAGTGGCTCTTGTTGCTTGGGGATCCTCCACACTAATGCTGGGAAGTGTTTGTGGTCCCGAACACAGGAGGTAAAAGGCCATGACTTTGGTCATAAAGCAGGAGGCCCTGGATGGTGCCCCGGGATGGTCCCCCAAATGCTCCTCAGTCATGGTGCCTTTGAGGCTGCTCTGGGCATCTATGCTCACTGGATTCCTCCAGGACACCTTGGTGTTTGGAGGAGACAATGCTGATGCCATCCTTCTCTGAGATTCTCTGGGACTCGGGCTGAGGCGTGTCCTGTATTCGCATAGTGCAGACCTCTAGGTGGTCACTGGCATGACTGTTGCTCTCGGGTCTCTTCTCAAGGCCTCATCCCATGATGCCCACATCCCTGCATTCTGGCAGACAGGTACACAGGTTGTCCTCTGTGCCCCTGCCTGAGGAGGTTACCAGGGGACCAGCAGGGCCCTCTGGTGGACTCGAGGGAAGGGAGCAGGTTCATCACCAATGTGGCTGCCACCACCGAGGGGGTAATACATTATCCTGGGCTAATGAAAACATAATTATCTTCTTTTGGCTACAGAGAAGGGCTAATTTAATAGGCTATGATCGAAAGGCATCTGTTGAATTCACCCCGCAGTCAAAGCACTTGAAGGCCTCAGGCAGGGAAGAGTTAGAGTGGCCAGCCAGGCCCACAGCTGTGTGCAAACATTCTTCCCTAGGACCGGAGTTGGGGGGCTAGGGAGGAGCCCAGGGTACAGGCAGAAGAGGCAGAGCACGTGGCAGCTGGCAGGGGTGTGTGAGCCGAGGAGCTGGGCTGCTTTTCTGCCATGAGTTCTTGGCTACTCCATTGCCTCTCTGAGCCTCAACTTCCTCACTTGAAAAATGGGGATTAATTCTGCCTGGTGCATTTTAACTGGCAGTTAGATGAGCCGTGGAAAGGTATTGGGGTCCTGGCACATTCTAAGTGGACTGCAAAGCTTTCAGCCCTGTTTTTGCACCCTGCTTGCAGGCCTTGGCATAAACAGTCCCTCTTTGGAGAAGGCCCTGCCTTGAACTTGGCTCCTGTACTCACAACACTTGGTGCTCTTCACACACCTTGGGGAGCTCTCCCCAGTATTATACTGGGGCAAGAGAGGTAGTATAATACTGGGGAGAGCTCCCCAAGGACAGAACAGTCTCATTCCCAGATGCATAAGTCCACATTCCACAGACCTGGCTGCTGAGCCCTACCCCAGACTGAATGACCCAGCACTCACGGTGGGCCTGCATGCATTTGTTTGAAAAACCTTCCTGGGCAACTCTGTAGCACACTCAAGTGTGAGAATCTGGCTTCCTACCTCAAGCCAAACAAATGCTTGTTTGAATTAGCCAAGCGTTATGCTGGGGTGGAGGGAGATAGGGAGAGGAGTTGGTCCATTGCAGTTATTAGGCCCCAGCTGTATACCGAGCCCCATGCATTATGCTCCTTTCAGCCCCCCTTTATGCACCACTCACCATACCCCACCATCTACTGTACCCTCTAGAAATGCCCTTTGATCTGCCTTGCTGTTCCAAAGTACAGACTCACAGGGGTGCTGGAGACTCAGGGGTGCTCCTCTGATTGTCCCCCCAACCTGTTCCATGGGAATCAGATCCTTTCTTCTCCCTGAAGAGGCCGCACCCACCCTGAGCCTCTGATTCTGGGAGAGAGTTTAGTTTCTGCGCCTGCGCCTGGTGCTTGGCTGGGGAAGTCGTTGAATTTGCTTATTAGGAAGCATCATGCCCACCGGGGGGTTTTGCAGCTTGAACAAGGAAGAGAGCCGTCTCCAACTCTGGCACTGTACGTGGGAGGCTGCTGCCCAGGAAGCTTCAGAGTCACAGGAGGAGGGCAGCAGCGTGGTCCGGGCAGATCAGTTCCCTGTCCTGGCTCCCAGCCCAGGGGCCCTTGGGAGGGAAGCACGGTCACAAAAGTGGCTCTTGGGGTAAGCGGCTGACAGGCTAGACGGCCCCAGGATTAGAAAACATGCTTGTCTGAGAACCCAGGTCCCCAGGGGAGAGAGGGGGTCACGGTTTCTGGGGATGCCACCTTTTCCACAAACATTTGCAGACTCTGGGCAGATGAGGAAGGAACCCTTTAAGGCCTAAAGGGATAGGAGGAAAAAACCCATTAGTTTTGGGGCGGCTGGAACACTTGTTTTCCAGATCTGGCTGTGCCACTAATGTGCTCTAGGAGCTTGGGCAAACCTCTTGGCATCTTTGGGGTGCCAGCTCCCTGATTTGCATGCAAAATCCAGAACAACTCTGTGTGTGTGTGTGTGTGTGTGTGTGTGTGTGTGTGTGTGCGTGCATGTGTGCGTGTTTACGGTAGAGGCTCCCTAATGCCTGTAACTTTTTAAAGGGGCCCGATACCCTGTAGAACTGAAGGGTAACTGAACCAGACCTTCCAAAAATGAGGCAGTCTATTGCCTGCTTAGCATTGTGCATCCTGCTCAGTACCGAGCAGTTCCCCAAGTGACCGACAGATGGGGCTAAACCTTCACCTTAGGCGCAGCGCTCGCGGAGACCTGCCAGGTGGGTCCCTGGCTCCGGGTAAGGTATGGAGATTTGGGGATGGAGCCTGGATGCCCTCGAGGCTGGGCTATCTTGGGTGGGATAAGAATGCTACCCAGGTGAGAACCCTGACCCAGAAAATGGATTTTAGTTCCAG